TATTCAGCCATGAGTCTAAATATGACCTTGGTTTTTTCCCTATCTCCGTCAATTTCCTGGCGGATTGGAATTATTTTCCATAAAGTGATTTTTCAGGGAAAATCTAATGTTTTGGAAATGAATGCATGATTGAGATAAACTATGGTAATTCTTGAATTAATGAGCTGAAAATATATAGCCAGACACGTACTGCATACCGCATGTCTAAAAACTATGCCTCCGTTCTGGTTACGAGGTTTTCGCAAAATGGCATAATTCACCCACGAATCCTCATATAAAACTGATCTGTTTGTCTTAAGTTTGGTAGGACAGAAAATCATTTTATTCAGACAGCGAGTTGGGCTACTTTTTATCTTTTTCTTTGCTGTTGACTCCGAATCGACCATTATTTTTTCCACCACCCACTAATTTTCCAAAATATCGAGTTTTCTCCAAGAATATCCCCTATTTAGATGCCAAAAATACGTACATTGTATGAAAATTCGGTTTTCCAGAAAATCGGTTGGTATTATTAAAAAAAACAAGGTCATACTCTCGCAGCAAACAGATAGATGGCTCCACTAGGCACCTTGATAAAATAAGTTTTCCGTCCTTTCAGAGGAAAAATTGAAGGATCAGTTCCACATGGGGCTCATAAGCGCATTGTGCCATTTGACTGAAAAAACATTGTTACTTGATGAAGCGAGGAACATTTGTTAGACATGCAATACATGTATCCTTAAGTATTTTTAGTTGCTAGATCCAAACATGACCTTATTATATCTCTATCAGGCATCTTCCTTTTATAAAATTGAACTTCTCTCGAAAAAGCCCGTTCTTAAGTAAAACCTTGGTTTTCCTAAAATTGCCGGAGGGAAAAACTATGGTTATAAATGGACTCAGTGCTGTCCATTGCACTAGGGTTTCCCATAAAATCCTGACGTTTGTTCAGAGGAAGAAGAAGAAAACATGAAAACACATTTGTACTGTGGCTGAAAGAAATGGATTTCTCCTTGATTTCGGGATTGTTCTTTATAAAAAAAACCTAAAAGCCGATTTATTTTTCGAGGAGCTCAACCAACACCTTTTGATTTTTGGCTGAAAACATAGTATTTTTACTCCTTGAATATTCCGAAGATCAAAGATGTACATTCACTTTTCATTTCACTTTCCTTCAATGGTGCGGTGCTCCTTCTCGGAGACCCTGCAAAATCCTCTCTTTGAGGCTTTCTAGCCAAACATTAAAAAAATGCGTTCAAAAAATCTCCTCACCTTCCATGTTTTGTTTTATGAAATTGATCGAAAATTTGAATTCATCTCTATCAAATGGTGTACTTTGTTCAGAGGATAAAAATTCGAGATCGCCTGCTCATTTTCGGTCTTGAAAGAAGTGTGTGAAATTTTTAAATTATCACATTTATGTTTTTCGTGGTTCCTAATCTAAGTTAACATAAAGTTACACGAAAAATGTCATGTCACAGAAGGAAAAAGATGGGGTGGTCACGACAAAATTTACCATAATTTTAATTTTAGTATCCCTTCGATGTCTTAGATGATCAATATTAAAAGTCCTGAGAAGGGGCATTTTGACATGCTTACCCAGGGCTACCCTTTGTGTTTTCCGTGAGATGATCGTGAATGTGTTCATGGTGAAAGATGAAAAATACAATGCTAAGGACGTTGCTTTTCTCTCTTATTTAATGTTCGAGAGGTAAACCTATCAAGATCATTTCTCTATATTCGGTATAATGTTTATTTTTCCTCTCGAATATTTTACCCGGAAAAGTTTGTGTACCTAACTTGCTGATTGGTCTCATCTTTACTGAAAAAGTGAAGACACTTTAAAAATCCATGACTTGGAGGTTAGGGTGGTCCAACTTACCACGGGCAATTTTTTTTTCGCCCAGCACACTGGGACACCCCCTAGATTTGTTCCTTACAATCCAAATATCATACCTGCCAAATATTCTCGCTTTCCGACCATATAAAGACAAGCTGACATGAGGCTGAAAATCTCCAAACAAAATTACATTTATTTAAATGGGGCAAAAACAGGCCGATCCGCGGTATTTCGTTTTTCGGCTGTAAAATGCGCCAAAATTAAAATAACTTGATATTTACATACTACAATACCTAGAGGCCTATTGTGAATGAGAAAATCACACTTTCGACCCATGGCGGGGGGGGGAGGGGGGGTCCACAGCGAAGCCGATTCACAGGCGCCGCGCCGGGGCATAGAATAATGATGCTTCGCAATCAGAAGCGAAACTCCCGTAAGAACGCGCTGAAGCAAACCCCGTACTTGCGTACTATGATGCTTGTTGTGCGTTCTTGAAATGAGCGCGGCGGGACTTTTAAATGAACCGAATCGACAACCCTGATGGCACGGGCACGCAATTGTCAAATGTAAACAGTACTGTACTAAATATTCTTCTTCTTCGCTTCAACTTCCCTATCCCAGTTTCGCTTCTGATTGCGAAGCATCATTATTCTATGCGCTGGGGTGCCGCATCGCCGCGTTCGGCATAATGCGGCTAAGGTGATTCGCTTCCGAAAATGTACCGCTATGCTCCCTAAATTTATTCCATTCGATCTATAAACAACGCATGCCACGTATTTTTACTTTCTGATAATATTAATTAAGACCTGCCTCCGTGTGACCGTTTTTTGGGAGAATTGAAGATAAAAGCAAAAAATAGTAAAAGAGTCGAATATTATAAAACTTTGCAACGTAAGCAGCGATATGCCTCACTTACTTGTGTTCGCCCGGACCTCTAAAATACGAATTTTAAGTTTCAGCACTTGTAAAAAGTTTTCAGAAACATAAAATTCAGATAGATTTGATTTCCTTGAGAGAACCAAAAAATTTCGAAAAATAGCGAAAACTGCCATAAAGGTAAAATAGCTAAAACTTGTTCTAGCTCTAAAGTTTTTGATGCCCGCTGATAAGTAGCAGTGTATGCAATAGAAATATTAAACGATAACTTCCTGAGCCATAAGGTGAGCATTATCGCCTTGAGTCAATTGAACTTCCCATAAATTAAAGAATGAAATGCATAGAACTTGTTTTTTTAAAAAGAAGTTTACTTTCTTAAATTTGTAGTAATTACCGAGCAGATATACGTTTCGATCTTTCCAAAAAGATGATTTTGAAGACGCCATGATTTCATAAACATATCATCAAAAAAAGAAATCATTGACGATCGATAAGCGGACAGACTCACTGCCAAATTCACTCCTATCCCAGAAAAAATGGAATGGGCCTGTTGCATGCAAGAGATACAGCCGTGCGAATAGACTTTTTAGAGGTTAAATGACATGAAAATTACGATGGTCACATTAAAAAAGTCTGAAACACACTCCTTACTGCGCAATTTGCGTTGTTAGAAGCGCGCTTTTTCAAATTTCCCGCGTCGGGGGGCAGTTTTCTTACGGAAACAATTAACGGCAACTCGCGGCTATTTCCGGTCAACTAAAACTGACAACATAACCTAAAAATCGGAACTCGTGATATCGTGAAATGAAATGTAGAAGGATTGCGTTGGATATTTAAAAGTTGATCGATTTGGTGACCGCATAAAGCGTATATGGACCACTATAAGAGATCACGTTAGGTTTGTGAACAAACTGAAGGAAAAAATAACAACAACAACGACTCGGCACCTTCCGGAAATCACCGAGCCCGCCGTTTGCTCGTTTTCCGGTGATTAGAAAACTGCCCTCAGACGCGGGAAATTTGAAAAAGCGCGCTCCTAACAACGCAAATTGCGCAGTAAGGAGTGTATTTCAGACTTTTTTAATGTGACCATCGTAATTTTCGTGTCATTTAACCTCTATAAAGTCTATTCGCGCGGCTGTATCTCTTGCATGCAACAGGCCCATTTTCTTTAAAGCTCGGAAGTTTTACCAACGAAGCAGTGTTGTAATGTGCTCATGAGTTGGACAGTTAATTTACTTTCAAACCCTTGAAATAACGTTATTCCATTTAAAGGGGTACGGCAATGCGTAACAGGGAGCTCGAATAAGCGGGTGCGTAGCGTGCACCTCTCTTATCAGTTTGGCGCATGGAGCCTTGTGCATTTTTGGAAATTTTTTGGTTTCTCTCAAGAAAATCAAATCTGTCTGAATTCTATGTTTCTGAAAACTTTTTACAAGTGCTGGAACTTAAAATTCGTATTTTAGAGGCCCGGTCGAACACAAGTGAGGCATAACGCTGCTTACGTTGCGAAGTTTTATAATATTTGACTCTTTTACTACTTTCCGCCATTTTCTTCAATTCTCTCAAAAAACGGTCACACGGAGGCAAGTCTTAATTAATATTATAAGAAAGTAAAAATACGTAGCATGCATCGTTTTTGGATCGGATGGAACAAATTTAGAGAGCATCGCAGTCCATTTACCGAAGTTGGCCGCAGTGGATCACCTTAGCCGTATTATGCCGAACGCGGCGGCGCGGCGCCCCGGCGCCTATGGATCGGCTCCACTATGACCCCCTGTCCCCACCCCCCCCCATGGGTCGAAAGTGCGATTTTCTCATTCACAATAGGCCTCCAGGTATTTTTGTAAGTACATATCAAGTTATTTTTATTTTGGCGCATTTTACAGCCGAAAAGCGAAGTACCGCGGATCGGCCTGTTTTTGCCCCATTTAAATAAATGTAATTTTGTTTGGAGATTTTCAGCCTCATGTCGGCACGTCTTAATATTGTTGGAGAGCGAAAATATTTGGCGGGTATCATATTTGGATGGTAAGGAACAAATTCAGGGGGCGTCCCGATTCATTTTCCGAAGTTGGTCAGTTTGGACCACTCTACCCGTAAAGGTCTTTTACATATTGCACAGTTTATGAGTGCAATACTATGTAGCTGTCAATGTGTCATGTTCCAAAAATTTACCAGTCCAATTCTTTGATTGCTTCACTGAAAGACTTTGCATCTGTAGGCGAAGTCCTCCTGTCTAGGTAATTTGTGGACATTTCTTCTTTCACTCTGGTTAATCTTCATCCGGTTATTTCCCTAATAGGAAGAAAGAGAGATCGGACCAGCCGGAGGAACTTTGATTGCAGACCTCTATAGAACTTTGCAAATGCGCAGGAAGGCAAGTCTTAGTTTGTGTTTTGTAGAGTATTGTAATCATCCAGGGTAGAAAGGGTGCCGGGTCCCTAGTCTCTAAGCTGCTTTACTTGAAAGGCATCTATACTATAAGCTCCAAGACCTCCTAATTTTGCGAAACTGGTAACGCTTAGTTCCAGCGTTCTACCAGGCCGATTTTCATGATTTTTGCGGCTATCGACGGGCAATTGTCTCTAGATAAGCCAACTCTTTTCAGATTTTCAAAATATGGCCCAGGTTTTTTTATATTACGTGGTAAAGTTGCGAATTCTCCCATTTAAACAATGTAAATTTATAAAAATAAAACTAACACTGATAGGAAGTAAAAATAGGGCCGCGAAGCGGCCCATTGATGGCGCGGAGCGCCTTCAGGGGGTTGGGCCGCGTAGCGGCCAGGGGGCGTCGCCCCCTAGTAGCATAGTATGTTTGTAAAATGACTCTAAACTCAACTTTCAATAGGCAGATCACTTTATGCACTAAAAACTGTAAAAATTCTGAGCTGCCGCATAGAATCTATCAAGAGTCGTTGTAAACGCTAAAAATCACATCTTAGTGGGACCTCTTCAAGCACCAAAGGGTCCAAACCTTGAAAAAGCAAAAAACGCTTGATAGGAAAAAACAAACAAATAACCCAATAAATGACTAGTTAACTGATCCCTTTTTTCCTTTTCGTATAAATAGAATCTCTGTTGCGTACATAAAGTTCAAATTTTCGACACCCATTGCTGCCTCTTCATTTTGTCATCATTTAATCATAGAATTTTCATTTCAATAAATATTTTTACTGGCCTCAAAAGATGTGCAAAATTTTAATATTTGTTGGCCAATATTTTAATTGAATCTACATAGAAATGTAGCTCAGGCAAATAAGCCAAAAGAGGGGCCATAGCCTGCAAAAATCCCGGGTAGCAATGTTTGCAGTAATTCCTATGTAATTTTTGACGCTGAATCCAAATTTCAACTTTACACCAAAAAATTAGGACCGGAAAGTTGCCAAATATTTCAAAAACTGCCTATAATTGGCTTTTTTGGAGTATTATGGTATGTAACTCGCGAGGAGTTGATCTGACCACAAAATTAGTTATTTTCAAAATTAATCCTCATTAAATTTCCTATAAAATTGATTCTAAACATTTCTTGCCCATGGCAAAATTAAACTCGCTGAAGGGTGCCAAACTTTGGAAAAAGAGCAGAAATTGGCATTTTCGCGACTGTTGGCCATTGCTTCCTTTTTCTGTCTGAAGAGCGATCTATTGACAAATGAAATGAAATTGATGGAGGTTTACCATGAATTCAAGTACCGAGCTCAAAAATAAGGAACTAACCGCATTTCAATGTTGCCAAGATTATGTAAAATTGTTTTTGGTGGTTTTTGACCATTATTCTTTGCATATTCGATTTATTATATATTCCTTAGGTTGTAATTTGGGTCGAATGAATCAGAATCACTTTAAGTGAGGTTTAAACATTCATCGTCACAATCTGTGTCACTAGAATGAGATGTTAATATGTCAGATGGTATCGCCATTTAATACGCTCTATTACAGTGCAAAATTACTATGAGGTATTTAGATATTATGCACCTATTAAAATTGCCCGTCCAAGAGACAAGAAGGGCACTAATCCATATAAAATAAATCGATTTATTGTGACAGTATACACAGCAAAAAGTTCTAAAGACCTCAAACGACAGTAATGCTCAGGAAAGTTAAACCAAATGGGGGTGATGGTTTTCCTCCTTTTTTATGGGTAAACGGGGAGGACCCAAGCCACCCATTTTGATGACCTTCAGTCGGTTAATGAAACTGAACGTGGCATTTTGCCAATATATCAACTTCATCACATCTAACCATTTTGTCAGCTTCCTCTGCCGACCTATGACGAAATGGCAGAACAATCGGAGTCCCCAAAAGAGCAGAAGAGAATGAATTGAAAGGGGCCAGTGAATTCAGCAGTTATTCTTTACGTGGGCTAGGCCTACAACCTGAGGAAATGTTCATTGGATAATTGTTAGCAACACTCTGATTTAAATTTTCTGTGGCTCTGATAATGATTGAGTCGGACAGGAATTAAGGGTGGAAAACACCCTTGATATCATGTTAGGAAGTAAGGAGAACTGGTCTGAGGTTTGTAAATGTAAAGACCATTTTAGTTTAAAAGAAAAGCGTCTGTGACGCGATTCCTGCCGATGCTGTGCCTCATGGCAGTTCCGGCGTGTCCGACCCCATATAAGTGTGGTGATTTTTTTAGCAGGTCGTCCTGCCTACCCGGAACGGCCTTTCTAGTAAAGTAATTTCAAGGATTAACGCGGCATGCGCGGGAAATCCCCTGATTACGGGTGGATTCCCGCTACCAGGTGGTCCTTGAGTGGGTGGCCTGACCCCGGCTTAGGGGAGGCCTGAGTATTCCCGAAGGAATTTTTGGCGTCTCGCGGAATTTTGTTTGTCAAGTAATTTTTAATGGATTAGTCGTAGTTACTGTGACCACTAGTTTTCTGAATTTGGTCGTAGTATATTCTGCAGATCGCTCCGACACACCACGCGGAGTCTGACACCCCCCCCCCCCAAAATAAAAAAAAATAAAAAATAAAAAAAAATGATTGAGTACCTAATCGAATGTGCGTAAGGGTGAGTGTGTACCGGTGACTTTGTGCGGCAAGAATAATTTAAAATAATGGATGGAATCCAGAAGCTCCTAAGAATAAGTTTCTTAGAAAACTTGGTCCTTGGGCTGTGGGGAAACCACAAAAAAATAAAACACACTATGTGCTGGACCTCTTGGGTGATGTGGATGCAATAAGTCATCGCAATATTATATTTGCTGTGTAATTTATAAGTTAACATTATGTAAAATGAAGTAAAAATGTTTTATATAGAATATCTTACTAATTTAATACGCTAAATTTTTCAATCCATGCAGTTAGCAAGAAGCTTAATTTCCAGGCGCAACTGCTACGCCACCATCACAATAGAGCATGTTTGAGGAAACGACCCTCTGACATGTTTAAACGTCATTTTAGTGACGCATATTGTGTCGATGCATTATTTAAATCTCACTTTAAGTGATTCTGATTCATCCAGCCCAATTTACATTTTAAAAAATTGCATCATATTATAGTTCTAAGCGCGCCTAAAATTCGCAGGAAATTCGTGCCAGGAATTTCTCCCCCTGCGCGACGCGCAGGCCCACTCACCGTTCACTGCAGCAGTAACCTCCCTCCCTCTCCCAGCGCCGCGACGCGACGCCCGTCCTCCGCCGGCTGCAGAACAGAGTCCCTGTCCCACCACCCGCACCCTGTATCGCGCCGCGCTCATCGTTTCCTAGAATAGGAATGGTCGAATATTTAGATATTCGAATTAACGGCACCGAGATAATCGCATCACATTCGAATATTCGCTTGCAAAGTGTGCAAAATCGCAAATTGGAATATTCGAATAATCGTTTTCGAATATTCGAAAAATCGCATTCGAATATTCGAATAATCGCATTCGAATATTCGAATAATCGCAAATAATCGAATAATCGCAATAATCGCAATAATCGCATTCAAAAGTATCAAAAGTGCCATATTATCTCTTACGGTTCATAAAAAATAAAAAATCGAAGCAATAATTGAAAATATTCGAATATTCGCTTCCGAACTATTTGCAATCGCAAGATTCGAATTCTCAAATAATGTGATGGCGGGTCTGATCACTCGCGACCTCGTTGAGATCGCAACTGAACAGACACGTCCTCCACTCTAACTATCCGAACTAGTCGTCGCCGTTGGCACCGACCGGGGAACGAATATTTAGCAGGAGTGTCGAATGGGAACAGGGAAAATATCAGTAGAAGGCAGGTCTTGGGATCTATGACCCTTCTACCCAAATCAGCGAGCCCTGTGAATAATGAACAGTAAATGAATGGATGAAAATCGTAGTGGTCTCTCTCGTCGGCTGGTCCTTTCAAGACTGACCAGCCGCCTCGTCACTTGAGTGGTGACTAGCGATGCGTCTCCCTTCCCCCTCTCTTTGCAGTTGCGCCTGCGCGCTGCTATCTTCTCTCCCCTCTCTTTCTCTGCTCGGAAGAGAGCCGCATCATATTCCTCCCACTAGGATGAAAGGGAATCTTGAATAAGATTTCCTTTAAAAAAATGTCCCCAAAAAGAATTTCTCTCCCTAGCTGATGTGGATCGAAGTAATTTTATTATTATTTTTTTTTCAGTAAGAAATTAAAATACAAAAATAAAGTCATATTATGATCAATAAAATACATAAATACCTGTCGCGAAATTAACTGTGTCTACCGTCTTAAAATAGAACAGTAAATTGTAGAAGAGTTTTTGACAGGAACACTGCCAATGATAAAATTTCTCTCAAAGAATTTTACTAAAAAACAAAATAGAGTCGTAACCTCAAGTTACGTTATAAACTTTAAGAAAGTGTTAAATTTCCACTCAAAGAATTTTACTGAGAAACAGAATACAGTCGTAACTTCGAATTACGTTATGAACTTTAAGAAATTGATCAAATTACACTCAAAGAATTTGACTAAGAAACGAAAATAGAGTCGTAACCTGGACGAAAATTAAAGCTTTGACTGAAACAAGACGATTTGCGCTATACTTAATTCAAGGATACGCTATACTTAATTCCTTGACAAGAACACTGCCAATGATAAAATTTCACTCAAAAAATTTTACTAAGAAACAAAGTAGCGTCGTAACCTCAGGTTACGTTATAAAATTTAAGAAAGTGATCAAATTACACTCAAAGAATTTTACTAAGAAACAAAATAGAGTCGTAACCTGGACAAAAACAAATAAATCTAAATAAGAACATTGCCAATGGTAAAATTTCACTCAAAGAATTTGACTTAGAAACAAAGTAGAGTCGTAACGACGAGTTACGTTATAAAATTTAAGAAAGTGATCAATTTACACTCAAAGAATTTTACTAAGAAACGAAAATAGAGTCGTAACCTGGACAAAAAATGAATCTTTGACTGAAACAAGACGATTCACGCTATACTGAATTCAAGGATAAAATGCTATTTTCGTAAATTTGGGCCATAATAGTTAGGTTAGACAGAATTTTCAAAAACTATGTCTTAAGTAATATTCCAGTCCCAAGGAGCAAAAGACAACTTCTTACGCAAACAAATTCAAAATTTCGGTATCACAAACAGAATCTAAATATCATGTAAGTATTCAATGCTTAAAAAACTCATTACTTTGAATTTTCTAATTAATTGCCATTACGTATGACATACTAATCTAAAAAACTTAACTAAGTTATCTTAAATTCAACACATAACTTTACAAGAGAATTTCACTAAGATTATCTATGTTTAAATTTTGGAGCTTTTCAGAAAAATACAAAAAAGGGAATTTAATATATTTAGTATATTATATTATATATTATTATTGTATTAGATTTAATTTTTATGTCGATTAAATATCACTGTGCATCAAATTAAGAATTTCTTTGTCCATAATGGAAATCAATGAGCATTATAATTTCAATTGGTATCATTGAGCAATAATTTCAAAGGGTATCAATGACCAATAATTGGAATCAATGAGCAATAATTTCAATGGGAATCAATGAGCAATAACGAGAATCAATGAGCAATAATTTCAAACAGATTGGTGCAGTACCTGAAATTTAAAATTACTACAGGAAATCCGCAGTGTAGCTTTCTCCTACTTGCATGTTTTTCATCAATGTTGTTAAATCCTTCAGCTCTGTGACAAGCTCCAAAACCTCCTTGCTCTGTATTCGTTTGTGTCGTTGACCTCGAAGTTAATTTCCCAATTTTCTTTGCTTGCTCCACCTTTCGTACATTTTCATCCAGTTGATCAATCGTATCGTTCTGAAGAAGAAATATTTTTTCGGCCATTTCTTGCGTGAACCCACTGATTATTGTTTCTATAAATTCTTTATCTGTTAATCTGTCCCGCACTGTTGTGGCCAAGTACAGTTTCTTTTCCAGATAGTCATGGCTCGTTTCGTCTTCTTTTTGGGCTCTAGTTTGAAACTCTAGGAGGTTGTTCCCCAAATTGGTTGTTTCTTTGAATTCTTTAACTAACTTCTTCTTAAAATCAGCGAGCGATAAAGATATCAAATATTGCCTATTATTTATATACCATAATACATTTGGTTTTTCCAATGCCGCTGCTAGACATGCCTTCATTATTCCGTTCATATAAAATACACAACTAATTTTATTTACTAATTTTAATTACTTAATTCATCAGCAAAGTTATATTTCTTCTGATCTGAAAAACACCTTAATACAGCGTTGTCACATTCAAGCCGGAAAGGTGCGTTTCTCAATAAAGGACGGAAGACTTCCTCGGCATAACTGACAGCTCTAAAATCGAGCTCGAAAACTGATGACTAAGCTTCTACTAGCGTCAGTGTCCTACTTGCATGAGCGATGACAAAACACGTGTTTGCATTTTCTCGAATTAACACCGCTCTCAAAAGTGACCATGTACTCTCGGTTTGAACAATGCATGTACATGGAGTTTCCGTCATATCAGTAAAATAAGTTAAAATTACTCACTAAAATACACAAAAATTGAAATAATTATTTCTTATAATTATATTTCCTCTACGGGGTTTCCGTCTTCGCGATTTTCGGCGGCTAGAACATTCGTTGGCTAGGCGAAGTTTTCTTTAAACACATAAAACGATTAATTCTCCTTCTTCAAGATTCTCTACGGGGTTTCCGTCTTCGCGAATTTCGGCGGCTAGAACATTCGTTGGCCAGGCGAAGTTCTCTGTAAACACATAAAACAATTAATTCTCCTTCTTCAAGATTCTCTACGGGGTTTCCGTCTTCGCGATGTTCGGCGGCTAGAACATTTGTTGGCTAGGCGAAGTTCTCTATCTCTGATTTTAAGGGGGTTTCCCTCTTCGCAATGTTCGGCGGCTAGGACAGGACTCAGCATGAATAATTAATTTTTATCCCACTGCATTGGCTATGTGCAGCTAAAAAAGTTATCAATCGTCCATACATCAATCTGAGGAGCGTAGTTCTGAAGAGCTGGTACCAAACCGAACCCTTTTTCCTGCACCATGTGATGGCGGGTCTGATCACCCGTGACCTCGTTGAGATCGCAACTGAACAGACACGTCCTCCACTCTAACTATCGGAACTAGTCGTCGCCGTTGGCACCGACCGGGGAACGAATATTTAGCAGGAATGTCGAATGGGAACAGGGAAAATATCAGTAGAAGGCAGGTTTTGGGATCTTCGACCCTTCTACCCAAATCAGCGAGCCCTGTGAATAATGAACAATAAATGAATGGATGAAAATCGTAGTGGTCTCTCTCGTCGGCTGGTCCTTTCAAGACTGACCAGCCGCCTCGTCACTTGAGTGGCGGCTAGCGATGCGTCTCCCTTCCCCCTCTCTTTGCAGTCGCACCTGCGCGCTGCTATCCTCTCTCCCCTCTTCTTCTCTGTTCGGAAGGGAGCCGCATCACAATAATCGCATTCGAAAAGTTTTGAATATTCGAATAATCGCATTCGAATTCGATATTCGTCCGTCCCTATCGTAAAACACCACGCAGCCGCGGCCAGTTATTTTCCATCTCTCTTTCCAGTTTCTACGAGCACTGCAGCCGGTACCGGGAAGGCTCCCCTTTCGTCCTCCCAAAACTTCCTAGAATTTTCGTAGACATAAGGGGGGCGTCTCATGGCGACGAGTAGTAGCTGTTTCTGGAACTTTCTAGAACTCTCTCGAATTTTCATCATTCAGGTGACCGTTAGTATAACGATGATCCTCATTAATCCTCTCCAAATATTTATAGAATTTTCCCGGACTTTCGTGAGGTGTCATGACTAACAAAAGCTTTTCTCGAACTCTCTCACATTTTTTTCTACGCAATGCGCAATTAAATTGAAGCTCTCGCTGTGTCCTTCCAAGAGCTTTCGAGAATATTCTTGGATTTTTATAAGAGTGTTCCAAGACGACGAGTAGCATTAGTTAAGCGAGCCACAATCACTCGCGAGTGATGGGGGTCCAGGGGGCAAAGCCCCTATTGGCTAGCCGCGGAGGGCGCGCCCAAAACGGATAGTATAATAATACGAATATTAAGGGAACTGTTATAACGGATTTTCCGCTGAGTCGCGGAGAAAGGAAGAAGACACTTCGGACGTTGAAAAGACACTTTATTTTAGTATAAGAAAATAGGGCAGTGGAAACAAGCACAGAGCCTAAAAGACGACGACGGAGACTGTCTCTACACAATAGACTCGTCCAAACATGGATGGAAAAAAGGCGGGCTGATTGGTCCTTCTCAAGAGGCTGAGTTCGACATGGCGCGAAATGTGAAAGCTATTCAACAGGAACAATGGTCAAAAACCGCCAAAAACAATTTTACATAATCTTGGCAACATTGCAATGCTGTTAGTTCCGTATTTTTGAGCTCGGTACATGAATTCATTGTAAACCTCCATCATTTCATTTCATTTGACAATAGATCGTTCGACAGACGGAAAAAGGAAGCAATGGCCAACAATCGCGAAAATGCCAATTTCTGCTCTTTTTCCGAAGTTTGGCACCCTTCAGCGAGTTTAATTTTGCCACAGGCAAGAAATGTTTGGAAACAATTTTATAGGAAGTTTAGTGAGGATTAATTTTGAAAATATCTAATTTTGTGGTCAGATCAACTCCTCGCCAGTTACATGCCATAATACTCCAAAAAAACTAATTATAGGCCGTTGTTGCAAAATTTGGCAACTTTCCGGTCTGTATTTCTTGGTGTAATGTAGAAATTCGGATTCAGTGTCAAAAATTACATAAGAATCACAGAAAACATTACTACCCAGGATTTTTGCAGGCTCTTTTCCTTTTTTGCCTGGACTAATAAAGGAAGCAAGTAAAAATTGAAAGGTAAAACATAATGTAAACAAAAACTCAAGACATACGTACTTTATCGGACTGGTCTGACGTCAATTGATTTATAAGCAATGGTGAATTAATGGCAAACTGAACTATGACCAAGAAAATTCTGTGACCGATTGTACCCAGTCGTGATAACACCAGTGACTGCACTTAGTACCTAGAATGCAGCTCTTTTACCAAACCTGTGACTTCTACAATGCAGGCTCGTGTCACATCTACCGAGGGAAAAAGATGAATCCAACCTCTGTATTAGCAGAAAAATTACTCATTTGAACTTTACTGTTTATTAATTGGTGAGTGAGGAAAGAAAGCTGGAACATAAGTCTTAACCATGCTGATACTTAATATTTTAAAGTTCTAGTGAAATCTGCCTTTATTCCAATCAGCCAATTCAAGAAACAGATCTTGAAAATTCTAGCAGAAAGTAAGAGTTTTAAAAAATTAGTGGAAGGTTTGAATACTTTAAGTTTTTTTTTTTTTGTATCGTTGCAAAGAACATTTTTAGGAATAAACCAAGGTATCTGTTTTCCTCCTTCAATGATTTCAGTTTGAAAGGAGCCATTAATCTAATCTTTATTCAGGTGCAGGAGAACTCCTTGGCAAAAACCTGTGGATATTTATTGTTAGAACTCAAGGTTCATGGCTTCTTTTTGACATTTCAACAGGGTATATCAGGAAAAATCAGTGAAAGAGCTTCTCAAGTGCAGTCACTAGCTCCGCCACCCAGACTGATGGAGTCAGAAACTGAAGACGACGAAGATGATGATGACGACCAGAACGAATGGGATGACTAATGATGAATCACCTCTAATTTTTGTGATCATTCCAATCATGACATGTTAGTCACGCTTACAGCAAACAGTAGTTTCAGAAATTTTTAGGATGTTTAATAGATGATTGGTTTCCTCTCTCGCACTAACTGTTTTGAATCAAAGAGAATCATTACAGAAAACTTGATGTCGAGATTTCAGTCAATCTACAGGGTGTTTGAAAAGTCCCCTCCCCCCCTCTAACTTTTGACCTAATTGAGGTAGAGATTTGAAACTTGAAGGGTGTTCCTAGATCAAAGGGAGCTACTTTTTGACCCTTCCAAAATTTTTGGGGGCCTCCCCTTGGGGGGGTTACGGACCCTAACTTTTTTTTTTTCAAATGGGAAGACCCCCTTTGTGATACCTCGTTCGAAAGAGCATAAAAAAAGAAAATTTTTCGCGCAAACCCGAAGTCATTATCTCAAACCGTTTCAAAATGGCGGCCGGTCAAAGTTCAAAATGGCCGAAAATTGGCACCTCTGCTATTTGCACATGGATTTGCTTGAAACTCAGCTTATCGTTTTCCTCCTACCCAGATACCCTCAAACACCGAGTTTCAGGCGAATCCATCGGCAAAAAGTCGAAGTTGCTAATTGTTGACCATTTTGAACTTTAATCGGCGGCCATTTTGAAAAATTAGGGTTTGTTTAAAAATCTAACGTCGAATTCGTTCTTCTCGGGTCAAGATACCTCCAGATACCGAATTTCAGGTGAATCCATTGGCAAGAAATCGAGTTTGTCAAATTTTCGGCCACTTTGAGCCTAAACCGGCGGCCATTTTGAAGAATTAGGATTTTTTTTAAAAATCTAACGTCAAATTCGTTTTTTTTGGTGCCAAAATGCCCCCAGATACCGAGTTTCAAGCAAATCCATGTGCAAATAGCAGAGGTGCCAATTTTCGGTCATTTTGAACTTTGACCGGCCGCCATTTTGAAACGGTTTGAGGTAATGACTTCGGGTTTGCGCGAAAAATTTTCTTTTTTTATGCTCTTTCGAACGAGGTATCACAAAGGGGGTCTTCCCATTTGAAAAAAAAAGTTAGGGTCCGTAACCCCCCCAAAATTTTGGGGGGTCAAAAAGTAGCTCCCTTTGATCTAGGAACACCCTCCAAGTTTCAAATCTCTACCACAATTAGGTCAAAAGTTAGAGGGGGGGGGGAGGGGACTATTCGAACACCCTGTATGAAGGATCTTTTTAATTCGAAAAATGTCGTAGATCTGGTGTAGATTTTCCATAACTAAGAAGGTGTCCATTAGTTCATGATAATATCCGGCCATTTTTTAAAATTTTGACCCCCTGCTCTGCCCTACATGCAGACATTTCTAATTTAATTTTTGGTTTGTGAAATGTGAAATGTTGATGATATATGGAAAACGGGAAACCAAAAAGTAACTTGAACTGAAAGGACGACACTATGTTGAGAAGAGTTAACACTGTATTGGGGCTGTCACCACAACACAGCCACAGCAGCTGGGCTGACAGTGTTGCTGCAAACGTATATGACATGTTCATCTTTATCAATTCATGCAAAAAGCAATCTAACAAGATATTACGTATGCATCATAAAACAATTAATAATTTAAAACTAGCATGTGATTTAAAATCACATCAAGAGGTTTTCAGAAAATGAAATGGAAGTTGTGATGCTCTTAATGACTAAAACATTGATTTACTATGACATGACACATGACTTATTAACAATGACAGATCTGATTAAGGGGCCCAGTGTAGGTACCTGGGTGAATTCAAATAAGGGTCAAATTCCAGGTTCGATTTCCTCCCAAAATTTTTTTGTGAACTTTTGGGCAAACCAAACTTTATTTTGACTTTCATTAGGTGTAGACTTAGGAAATATAGCTCGTCGAGCTTAATAGTTATGTTTAAACCCGAATTTCCACCGTCACGTTATCACTTCCCAAAATTTGCTCTGATTTTGCCTGATTTCCCAAATTTTCATCTCAGAGGTGACATTTACTTTTAATTGAAAATTGAACGCAATTGTCATAAAAGCATCGTCGAGCACTAAATTAAAGCATAATTGAAAACATGTAACCCTTTCAATTCTTACAGAACCAAAAAAATTCATCTGTCATGAAAGATATCTGGAGCTTATTCTGCTTATCTTTTAGACAGTTCCGTCTGTTTATCATAATGCCTACTGTTTTCCTTTAACATGAGAAGGAGCTTTTATTTCTTGGAATATTGCAATACAAAATTGATCAAAAACATCGAATTTTAAAACTTCAAGTGGGCGTGTACCCGCTGAAGTGGAGGTAAAGCCAGGAAAAGTTTGCGGAATTGCATTAACATATCAACTACACTGGTCAACTTTTTTTTTTTTTTTTTTGATTTTCCGAAGATTTGCCAACCGTTTTGGAGTAGATTTTTGGCGCTGATTCCGAAGATCACCTCCTTTTACCTGTATTAGTGCGACTTATCCCGGGAAAGTTCGGAATTTTTCCGGAGAAATCGGAATTTTCCTTAATAACCTAGCTTTTCCAGCAGAGTCAATCTTCCGGGAGAATCTGTGCACGATGGAAAAAACCTAGGAATTTTTTGATTTCGTAGCCTAAGATACATAAGAAACCATGTATTGCACTCCTATTAAAATTTCCTTTCTTTTCCTAATGCCAAGGTTTTCCGGTCCAGTTTCATTAAAATCAATTAATTAGTTACCGAGATAGTGTTTTAAGCCACGGCTACCACCTTAGATTTTCGAATCTTGGAAATTTTACTAAAATTCAAGTTCCTCATTCAAAAATACTCGCGGGTACCAAGTTTCGCGTAAATCGATTGATTAGGCGCTGAGATAGCATTTTAGGTCATGTCTGCCATCTTGGATTTTCGAATTTCGAAAATTCGACTAAAAATTAAAGTTTCCCATTGAAAAATACCCCCGTGTATCAAGTTTCACTTAAATCGGTCGAAAAGAGTGCCTACAGGGCTCAAACAAACAAGCCTCAGTTGATTAGGCGCTGCGACAGCATTTTAGGCAATGTCCGCCATCTTGGATTTTCGAATTTTCAAAATTCGACTAAAAATTCGAGTTCCCCATTGGAAAATACACCCGGATACTGAGTTTTACTTAAATCGGTAGGAAAGAGCGCCTACAGGGCTTAAATAGGCAAGTCTCAGTTGTAACAGTTTTCCACTCTGTCCCACTAAACTGGGACATGGGACAGGATGGAAACATATGTGACAGGATGGAATGGGACAAGATGGAACGGGACAGGATGGAATAAGCTGTTTTTTAAGCTTATCTCTAACAGGAAATACAATTTTGGTGTTTTTTTTTTCACGGAATATTTAGTAGCACATCCTAGAGGATCGGAATAAGAGAAAATTTTCCCTAACGCACACTTCGAAAGTATTTTACGAGCTGATGTTAGTGTGTGTGTGTATGCTTGACGCCATGTTTGTTATCGTGTATAACATTCTGTTTGGCATCGTTAATGGCGTTAATCTTGCACAAAAATTTGCGAATTTCAGAATTTTTGCCGTCTACGACGTGTGAACTATTCAATCAAAACAAAAAAAGTAGTTTTTGGAAAAACGTCAACGTTACGGCAATCATTTAGAGCTTATTACATCGTTGCCATGTCTCTCCTGAATGTTGCTGACTGTTGCTGGGGACAATGATTCTAGCGCGTGAAAAAGTTATTGATGGAGCAAAAAAGAAATTGACCTATTTTTTTTCTCAAATTCAAAAGCATTACCTATCATCTCCGATAAAGTTTTCTTAAATAATCACTCTAGTTATGCTGCAACATCGATTTAAAGTCAAGAACCAGGCACGGGGGACACCCAAATTTGGGACAAATGTTGGCAATTTGCACATTCAAAGTTCTCCTAAATTTTTATTTCAGTCCGACTAAAGTGGGAAATAGCATGTAATAGTCAACAATAGTGTGGAAAATGAGAAAAAAATTTGATCTGCCCATGTTTCTCAGATTATGACGATTAAAACAGCTGGGGACACCAGATTAGACGCTTATTTGAATTCACCCACCTATGTGGAGGCTTTGAGGGCCTCCTTTCCTTTGGCAATTGTCATGGGCCTAGAGGTTACAGGCGTTGTAGGGGTTTTATCTTCTGGCAGTGGGGGGAGCCTGTGGTGTAGAAAACCTGGAATCAGATTCATTGTCACTGAGAGTCACGATCTCCGGTTATTTTTCTTGATCGATGGCCTAAAGGGCACTCTAAATTCAATTTCTGTCGACTCAGCTAAGACACTAGGACAGGTTCATTAGGAATTACGTTTTTACATCTTCGAGTCCTTGGTCATGCCTGGCTGTCCATTCCTATAGATAACTCTTTTTGAAGGAGTTAATGCAAGTTATGAGTCTTTTCTGCAAGGTTGGGAATAATAGAGCAGCAAAAGTTCACGATACCTAAAAATCTTTGCAACTCAGTCACGTCTGTGAGTGGCCATTTTTTTAATTGCTTTAACTCTGTTGGGATCTATTTTGATCTGATTCAATGAATATACTTCACCTAAATATTCGATTTCTATTTTGAAAATATCACATTTTGAGCAATTACCTACTTAAAATTTCGTACCATGTTTTTCAGCCTTTTTGAGAACTTGTTTAAGAATTTTATTGTGTTCTTCTTTTGATTTTGCATTATATTTGGAAATCATCAATGTTTATGATAAGACCAGGAATGCCTTTGAATTGCTCTACCCTTTCAGCTCAAAAGATATCATTAGAAGAAGAGGTACCAAAGAATAATCTTAAGAATCTACATCTCCCTAATTGAGTGGCGAAGGTACATAATTTGGATGATTCTTCCTTTATTTTTAAGTTCCAAACCTTATTTTTATACTTAGTTTTGTAAAAAAAAATTAGCCTTCTTAACCTCTGATTTTACAAAATCTTCGATTAAGGTTTTATGACTTTGCAATAAAACACAAGATTTCGAGAAGGCAGAAAATACTTTACCCACCATCTCGCTAGAGTGGGGATGTTAGTATCTAAAAATAAAATAGGAAAATAAAATCTCTCGAGTTACATCTTCACTTGACGAACATGGGTACACATAACAGAGAGAGTGATGAATCACAACTTTTCGACGAAACATTACATCATCTGCTTAGTGTTTTCAAGTTTGTCTACTAGAGTGCCTACTGACTATAAACTGCTGACTCTGATAATGAAGTGATCACTCGAATACCAAGATTAACACTTTTCCTGGATCATGAATTACTCAGACATATTCAAAGCAAAACATTTTTGATGATCACAGTTGAGTGAGGGCATTTACCCAATTTTTTTCTTTCCAGACCAGACCTCTTCCATGCCACTATAATCCTTCTCCCTAATCTAATAAAAATAATTTCGAAAAGAAAAGACCAATTTTTTCTTTCCAGACCAGACCTCTTCCATGCCACTATAATCCCTCTCCCTAATCTAATAAAAATAATTTCGAAAAGAAAAGAACAAATTTTTTTGGAGCATTCCTTAATTATTAAAAAAAAATATTATCCTCCCTGCAAGTAGCTGCTTTGAAAACTTGGTCATCCCTAAAGTCTATTTACTCACGTATATGCTTGCTTAACATGAAGTCCAAAATAGTATTTTTCCGATTGCAAATACTCAAATCAAATTTTACCATGTATTTGGGAAGAAATGGACCGCGTTGAACAGAAAGAAACCAAGCCACATTAGCTATTGCCAAATTTAATAGGGGAATTTGATTTTTTACGAGAGAATGTTTGTGCGGATTCCTTTGAAAATTTTAAGGAATTTACTTCATATAATGGAGAAAATTCATAGAAAGCACAAAAATCCGCCCAACCGTTTTCATGTGAAAAATTAAATTGCCCGATTAAATTTGGCAATAGCTGATGTGGCTTGGTTCCTTTCTGTTTAACGCGGTCCAAAAGTTCAATTTAAAAAAAACAAACAAACAAACAAACCTTTAAATCCTGAACGTAGTGTAACAACAGATAAAATAATTGTTTAAAATTAAAAACTCCTTACCTGGTGTATGCTAAAATTTGATTGAAATGCTTGCAATTTGAAAAATACTATTTTGGACTTAAAGTCTAGCGGCCTTGTAAGTGAAAAAACAGACAATCAGGGGTAATCAAGTTTCCAAAATGGCTAATTGATGTTACACTTTTTTTATCTTTTCTTACATATTAGCTAATTATGTTTCATAAAAAGTCTAAAATCACATTTTTTACTTACGCCCTTTAGGTCCAATTTACTTACAGAAGATGAAATTTTTCGACAAAATTCAACAATCATTTCGATTCGTATTCAAAAGGATCATCGATTGTCATATGTCCGAACTCGATCGGACAATATTTCCCGAAAATGCTCCACCCTATCCCAAGTGCATTGGGAGCTATAACGGTCTGTGGCAACGGCTCCCTCCACTTGAACTCATAACGGAGAGTCAACTGTTGTTTAGGAATGTAGCCTCCCATAACTGGACAGATCGGTTGCTCTAGAGTACCTTTATAGACAGAGTATGGCCATTCGTATCTTTTTACTACAGGAAAACTGTTCCGCTTTTTGATTGGTCAACGAGTTTTTAGGCTTCATGATGCTCTTAGGGCCGTAAATAAACAAACAAGATGGCG